TTACTCAGTGTAATAGTTGCCCGCTAATACATGTTTATACTTGCAGTTGACTGTCCGCACTAATTCTCCACATTCAGAAATAGTGCGGTCCTTACTAATTATCCAAGCACATAATTAGTGCGGATTGGAATATAGTGCGGTCCGCACTAATATATGTGATGGGGGTCCAGCGATCAGGTTGAAAAATAGTGCGGTCCGGACTAATTACGGTAAACGGTGTACGTATGCCTACTGAATTTCATATATTTTTTCTTAGAACCTCAAATACAAGCACAAAAAGGGTCTCGACCACTGTACTTGTCCTTTCTACAAGAGCCAATCAAATCCCCTCAAAAATGGATTAGCCAATAGCGTCGATTCATGATTCGATTCGACAATTCGAATCGAATCTACAATCATATTGGTTTCTTCACCACTTTTGTTTGCTTGTGGATCGTTTACGTTGTTAAACTGGACCAATCGGACACAACGTCACGAAGACGGGACTTTATAGTACGCATTCTGCAACGATATCAACAAGCGAAGCCTAACGTTATGGTGAATCCGTTGACGCGGTGCTTGGAGGATTATGCGCTGCCGCCGTTCGCGACGCTTCGTGTGTCTGACATCGTACCGGCCGTGCGCGCAGCCATCGCGGAAATGGCGCTGGACGTGAACGCGATCGAGGACGACTTGTCCGACCCAGACGCGGACATCTCGTGGGCGACGGTCATGGACCGACTGAAGATCATCGATGACCCCGTCAATCGCCTCTGGCGCATCGTCATCCACCTTTCTAGTGTAGCCGACTCCCCCGAGCTGCGACTCGCGCAGAGCGAGGTCCAGGCTGAAGTGCTGACGATTCAGAGTCGACGGGCGCAGAGCGTGCCCGTGTTTCGTGCCATGCAGCGCCTTCGTGCGAGCCGTGGGTTTCACGAGGATTTGACAGCAGAGCAGCAGGTACAGTATCTACCCGAATCGTGGGTCCAGTAGTTAGTTGTACATACTGTTGTGTGTGCTTTGTCCTGTACCAGCCAGCCACCGTACTACTAGTAGTATTCGTTAGCGCATCTTGGACCGAGCGATCCTCGACGCGACTCTGAACGGCGTCGCATTGAACGACACCGAAAAAGCTAGATTCAACGACATTGACGTCAAACTCAAGAGCTGGTACAGTTTGATTGTCCCTAGTCGTTCGTCCAAAAGTAGCAGCAGATTGTGCGACGGGAATGTTTGGTTTGATTAGGGCAACCAGTTTAACAGCAATACATTGGACGCGACCAAGGCATTTGCCCACGTCGTACATGACAAAGCCGCCGTGGCCGGCCTTTCCAATGCTACGCTCGCCACACTCGCACAGGTAATTCCAGGATTCCTCTCATATATATATATATAAACTACTCGACGACTTCAAAGCAGGCAGCAGCAGCAGCACTCTTAATATTGTTGTGATTGATTTGATGTTCGTGATGGGTAGAACGCGGTGGCGGCCGGCTACGACGCGGCTACACCTGCCTCTGGTCCGTGGACGCTGACACTTAACCGGTCCAACTACTCTGCCGTGGTGACGCACTTCACCAACCGAAACCTTCGCCAACTCATGTACCAGGCCGAGCGGACTGTGGCAACGTCCCCACCATACGACAACACGCCAATCATCCAAGAGATGCTTCAGCTGCGCCGAGAGCAAGCCGCGCTGCTCGGATTTGACTCGTTCGCTTCGTTGAGTTTGGAGAGCAAGATGGCGCCATCCGCGTCGGCGGTTCAGGATATGCTGGACCTTCTACGAGACAAGTGTGTGCCACTCGCCCGAGCCGAGTTGGCTGACTTGGAAGCGTTTGTAAAGGACTTTGCACCAGACGTGGCTGCTACCACGTTGC